TGATGCTTCCAGTAAATCAACATCCAATGTTAGCCTAAATGATTTGATGCTTACTGGTCCAAGACTCCAACAGAACCTATCTGAAATCCTGTTAAGATGGAGGCAGCATAAAGTAGTTTTTACAGCCGATATAGAAAAAATGTATCGACAGATAAAAATCCATCGAGAAGAACAACCTTACCAGAGAATTTTATGGCGATCTGACAGCGGACACCGAATGATTGAATACAAGCTAACCACTGTCACATATGGAACAGCATCTGCACCATACCTAGCCATTAAGACTTTACAAACATTGGCAAAATCTGAAGAAACGACGTATCCTATTGCAAGCAAAATCACCCTACGAGACTTTTACGTAGATGATGTCCTGTCAGGAGCCAATGACTTAGAATCGGCAATAGAAATTCAACAACAGTTACTCAATATGATGCAATCTGCTGGTTTTAATCTCAGAAAATGGACCAGTAACAATCCAGCCCTGCTTCAAGCCCTTCCCGAATCGCAACAAAACCAAGCCGTCCAAGAATTATCCGAAGATGACATCCAAAAATCACTTGGCGTATTTTGGTCGCCTTATGGTGACAACTTCATGTTCAAAGTTACCACATCAACAGAGAATCTAATAACAAAAAGGCACATCCTATCAGAGATATCAAAAATTTTCGATCCCTTAGGATGGTTATCACCTATAGTCATCAAATCAAAAATACTCATACAAGACTTATGGCTACAAAGATTAGGATGGGATGAGAAAATAGAAGGTGAACTAGCAGACAGATGGATAACCTTTAGAAAGGACAGGAATAAAGTCGAAGATATCAGAATTCCAAGATGGATGCAATTTAGCCAAGGAAACCTAATTCAACTCCACGGATTCTGTGACGCCTCTGAAAAGGCCTATGGAGCTGTCATCTACAGCCGAACACTGACGACTGAAGAGAACATAGTTGTCACACTTCTCTGGGCAAAATCAAAAGTAGCTCCAGTAAAACTAAGAACAACGTTACCGAGACTTGAACTCTGTGCAGCACACTTATTAGCGAAAATGATAAACCAAACTAGTGCGACACTAGAGATAGAAAATATAGAAACTTTCGCATGGAGTGACTCCATGATAACATTAGGCTGGATAAAAGGCCAGGCCAATCGATGGAAAACATTTGTTGCCAATCGCGTGAGTGATATAAATAGACACGTAGACAGCAGCCACTGGAACCACGTAAAAACATCCGAAAATCCAGCAGACGTTATATCCAGAGGGTCTAATCCAGAACAATTAGCAAACAATCTCCTGTGGTGGAATGGACCAGCATGGCTTCATAGTCATGAACCACTACCATTAGCTAAAGAAATACCCGAAACGGACCAAGAAGCTAAGAAAACCATAAAATGTTTCCAAGTTAAAACACAAATCACAGAAAACATAATCGAACGATTCTCCGACTTAACCAGAATGATAAGAATATTAAGCTACTGTCGAAGAGTTTTTCACAGGTCCAACGAACCAGTATTATCTGTCGAAGAAACAAGAAAAACGCTCCAAGAAGTTATTAAAGTGATCCAAAACTGCGAATTTCCATCCGAGATATCGTCCATTAACACAAAGAAAACCGTGGAGAAATCAAGCAAAATATTTAACCTAGGCCCATTTATTGACGGGGAACAAATCCTACGAGTTGGCGGAAGATTACAGAATTCAGAGTTACCTTACAGTCAGAAACATCCTATAATACTACCAAGTCAAAATCATTTGAGCAAACTAATAATATTGGACGCACATCACAAAACCTTGCATGGCGGAAACGAAGCAACACTGGCTTACTTCAGAAGAAAATACTGGATTATCAATGGGAAGAAAAGTGTAAGACGCATCTTGAGTATTACATGCATCAGGTACAAAGCAAAAACCTCAGAGCAGCAAATGGGCCAATTACCTGCCACGAGGGTCACACCATCCCCACCGTTCATTAACAGTGGAGTAGACTATGCCGGCCCTATCAAAGACTTCGAACAAGAGAGAAAAAGACCACCAACAAACCTGAAGAGTATGAACTACAGTCCCTGAAGTCGACAAATTGAGAGGCGGCAGAATGTCCATTTATCCAAATTGGAACATTTAATCTTATATTTTTACCATACTGTACATATTAGAATTAATTAATTATAAGCAACCCACTTTTATTATTGCAAATCAAATGACGACAATCGATTTGTGCAAAATCAGCATTTATTGTATATAAAAGGTGATCAATTTCATTAATAAAATCAGATTCAAACTTTTTGTTGTTTCTCTTACTTAAATTGTGCCCAAGTCACCATTGGCCTAGCAACGCTAGTAGAGTCGTGAGACTGCGCTCTAACAATTACTTTTCTTTAGCCTTATTGTAGCAGGTGCTCTGTCTGGTTACATTAGGCCCTTCTTTAAACCTGTAGCAAGTGCTTTGTCTGGTTAAAGGTTTAATTTAACCTTTATAGCAAGTGCTTTGTCTGGCTTGGGTCCTTTTTCCAACTTACAACAAGTGCTCTAGTCTGGTTGTAAGTTACCTATCTTACGCCCTAGTGCAAGTGCCGTGACTTTAAGTCCTGTCTGGTACTAAGGCCCTTCTGCTCTTCTATCCTAAACCATCAGGATCAAGCAGAAAATACCATCCAGAGAACTATAGTCGCCTGGAGCGTACACCAGTGAAACAAAGCTAACACCATTATGTCAGTGTCAGCACTCACAAGAATGATTTTAGTAAATCCACACAAGGGTGCGTTTTCAATTCATGCATTTTAAAGTCCGTCTCTTCTATTGACAGGGAATTAAATTCTATGTGGCTTACTTGCATTCCACTTTCCACAAATGTACAGTTGAATGATACCTCATCTTCTTCGTCAACATCAAAAGTACTAAAGGTGTGGTTGCATGGTGTTTTGTAAAAATGAAAAACAGTGTTGGAGACAGAATTGGGGAAAGCCGGTATTTATAGGAAGTGTATCAGAAGACAAGCCATCGATCACAACGTGCAGTGACCTGCCTTCCAAAAAGCTTCCTAGCCAATGGCAAATTGCATTCGGAAATTCAAGTTTGCAAAGGAGACCTCTATGCCACCTGATCAAAAGTTTTGGAGATGTCCGATGCTACAATTCTGGATTCGCCTTGTTTTTTCGAAAGTCGATTGCCAACTGACGTATGCCAGCAGATCCCCTGTTGATCCTTTAGAACGAAACCCGTTACTGTTTGCCAGAGATGAGCTTGGCTTAGAGGTATTTAAACAGTTTCAGCCTTTCCATTACTTTCAAAAGTACGAATATAAGTGAGATGGGAGATTATTGTTAGGAGCAGTTTCCTTGCCCTTTCTGGCATATTGCCAGATAGACAAGAAACCGCCTCGACTGGGAGAGAGTGAAAAAAGTTTGGAAAGAACTAGAGCCAATTCGTGTGCGCAAGTTTTCATGGCAGTGTCAAGTTGCAGAAGGATTTCCCTAACAGTTTTAGATTTGAATACAACGTTGTCCATGTAAAAACCAATGTATGGCAGTACCTGTGGCGCTCTGCCATTGTTCTTCATTGTAGAATTGAATGCAAATTGTTTGACAGAGTGATTTGCTTTTTCATTTGAGGACAATACAATTCGATTATTGTCCTTAAATAAAAAATAAAACATCCTCGTATGGTTTTGGCAAAGGACCAAAAGGACCTTGATCCACTCGGGCAGTCCAAAAGCCAATTACGCATTTGTTGGTTGTAGAATGCCTTAGCCTCGTTGATTATACGATTGCAATAATTTCTAGCAGCCGTGAAGGAGGATCGAGTGTGCTTGCTTTGACTTCTATGCTAGGCATGTAAGTTAGTTGGCCTATGGAGAAACGGAGTCGGAAATACGTGTGAGCTCGTCTACCAATTGGGTTAGGCCGTGTGAAATGACAAATCCTTCCAGCACTGGTTGTTTTATTCGAGAACTTAAGCCACACTGATTTATGAACAATAAAATCTCCCAAGAGTATAATCTCGGAGTTCGGATAGCTTTCCTGGATAAAATCAAATAAATTTAGAAGCTAACTGGAGTGATTGAGAGATAAACAAATCAAAGATAATGGATAAAACATAGTTTTATATTTGCCAAACAATAAATAATTCGTCATTTACTCCATTTTGAAACCCATTTTATAGTATCTTTTCTCAAATATTTGGTCCTTTTATGTTTGACAATCTGAAATAACAGACTTCTGTTGTTTTATTTCGATCCAATCCCAAACAAAACCTCAACCAACTACAACTAATAAGGGATCGACAACAAACTAACCAACTTGTATGTAATGTTCGCGTTTTTATGCATGGGCGTGATTATCCCCACTTTAAAAATCTGGCGTTTTTCTTATCTTCCAATGAAATGAGCTTAGAGTTCCCGAATAGCTTACTTCCGATGGAACCTTCATCATTTCAATAGATATTTGTTGATGAGCTGATGTTTTTCCGTCTTTCATCTGATTTGTTACCTACTTACTTCTCCTTTTTTTTTGTCCCACTTCTTCTTCTGCGATTTTGCATTCTGTAATTTTCCTCTTGTTTATAATAGGCAAATACCATAGGATTTCTCCACTGAATTTTTGACATCTCTTAGGCTTTTCTTACGAGATATCGAGAATGGTGCACCACGTATTGTACATTGCTTTAAAACTAAAATTCACTTGCTGAGCACCTATCAATAATCTGCCCGGTACATTTGAACTTCCGCTAAATTTTAATATCTTCTCTTCAGTTACCTCATATTATAACATAAAATTATATAAAGTTCAGTACCATATATGTACCAAGAAGTAGTTCAGTGTTCCGCCTTAATGAATTCGATGTTAGTTTTATTTTCTGTTTTCTTAATTGGAAGGAAACCGAAGTCAAGTTAAACTGATTTAGATATGTTAATAAATTACAACACGCTTTGGTAATTTTGTGCAAGTTCGAGTCTAGTCGAATGTTACGAAATACATTTTCCGGTCTTTGATAAATTACTTACCGGTTAACAGCGTAAACTTGCCCTTTACTTCGAGCCCCTTTGATTCTCGAGGTGCTTAACCCTAGCGCTGCAAGGGGATCGTCGGTTACAGCGCTAGGGTCAGGAGGATCCGGCGGAGGTTGTCTTGGAGGTTGAGCCCATCGGGTCATTTTTTGGTGAGATCGTCCACAAATTTAGAGGAAATAGTTTCGGAGAACATCTTCTTTGAATAATCCTGAAAATAAAAATCGAAAAATTAATTTCTATTCAATATGATTCATTCAAGTTGATTTCAATAATATTAATAATTGATGAATTTGTGGTTGCTCCATGACCGGTACCATGTCACATGTAGCCTTCAATAATAAGGTCGTAGCATATACAGTTAGTTTTCGAGATTTTAAGTAAATAAAACTAAAATTGATTCAATTTTTTGGGCAATATCGACAAGTGTTGAACATCACTTTAAATTATGTTGCTGCATAACAAATACTCAGATAGTCATTTAAAGAACATGGTTTTATAATGCGGAAACGCCGGTGAATAATGATGCTGATCGGCTTTATTCAGCAAAACAGTTTTTTTTTTTACTATGTTCAACAGACTTCCACGGAGTGTTAGAGATCACAAGATTTCCTGGTTGAAATATGTCTGGGTTTAGTTATTCATAATTTTGTCGTTAATTAGATAATGTTCAATTTCTCTTGGTTTCAAAACAATAAACATTAAACCATAGGGAAATTATTGCTTGAATCGTATTATCAATACAGATCCCACTCTATTGCAATTCATCTACTTATTCAATCAAATCTTTTTGATCTTTTTCCAGACAGACTATGGTTATGGATGTTATTACTTGGTTGAATCTTTCGACACTCTTCACACAATATCTCTCGATTATTTTACTTCGAGACCTGTTCTGTCTGGAATAGTTCTGTGAAGTTATCCAGTCATTTAGAATATGTTTCAAAGCTTTCATGATGATGTGACTACGAATTTATAGGTTTTGAGTTTTTGCACGCTACTATCTATACAGTCTAACCAGTTATCGATTTGCCCTGATTAGACTGAAACTTTATTGTCTTTTGTCTCATTAAAACATTATTTTTATGTTTTACAAAACGAAGCTATTATAGAATTTGATTTTAAAATTTTTGGATAATTGAACTAATACATTACTATCAAAAACAAAAGGCAATAAAAGTAACAAATGACCTTCTGATAAGCATCAAATATAAATATCGAAAATTGATGTTTAACTGAGCAAAGAAACAAACAAAAGAATTATGTTATGTTTTACTGTTAAATTTACTATTTAAAGGGATATTGCAAAAGCGTGAAAATCATTCGAATTGAAAAATATAAATAAAATTAGAATTGGTAATGTGGGCAGAGGCCTTCCTTAACGATTTGCAAATTTATTTTTCCATTTTTTTGGGTCAAGAATATAGCATCATTATTGTTAGAAAGACGTTAGAGGTTGTAATTAGGTAGGTACCTACTAAACTTTAACCCTCGTTATAATTTTCTCACTTTTCGAAGGATAATTGAAGTAAGATTGGAAATAGGTGCCTATAATAATTGGCACCTAACCTAATATAATGTAACGTGTTTAAGTTTTAATTCGTGTCGCCTTATTTAATTTAATTTTCATTTCAGTTAATACTAATGCCCAAACAAAGATACATTTTTAAAGGTAATAACAACTTAAACTCAAGCAAGGCGACATTAAAAATTTTAAATATGAGCCAACAACGCTCATGACACACAAAACAATATGGGCGTTTAGTAATAGCATCATTATAACATATAATGAATGAAGATAAAGACATGAAAACACTTGTGTAATGTGTAAAATTACGTGCTTGAACTATGAATATGCGTGTAATAATTAAAATAATTGTTAATTTTAATGGCACCATTGTCCGTCCCAAGTTTGTGTTATATAATCAATGTGGTAAATAACAGGTGGGTCATTTGAAATGATTTATTGCATTGACATAGTAGACCAGGAAAAATGCTTCTTCTAAATACAAAAGTACCTATTAATATTGCAATATCAATAAACGATGTTGAAAAAGTGCTTGCCAATATTCTGCACATCCAATTATCATTTTCTCGATTCTCGTCCTACTTTGTCACTATTTTTGTCTCAGTATACCATATAACCATTGAGTTCATTGACAGGCAACTTTGCATTGTAGATGCTTATCTAAAATCCTAGAGAATGGACATCAAAAATCGCCTCAATATCAACACAATACCGCATCAAAACACAGTCAAAACTCAAAAGTAAACCGAATCTGAAAGCAAAGTGCATAAAATTGGAAATAATTTTACGAAATTGCATTGATAACCCGGCCCCGATTCTGAAAAACAATACCACAAAGTGATTTCTCTAAAAAACATTACATCGTGTTCTATTTGGAAATTTGACTCCGCCACAGAATTTTTAATTTTTATTGGTCAGGATTTTTGACATTTCATTAGAGTTCATTGAGAAAATTCAAGAACCATATTGCTAAGACATACGTTTAAAAAACCATTGCAATCTTTGATTGTTTTTTTTTTTGAAGACTCGATATGATCGGGTTAACCCGATCACAAGAATTACCAATCTCGACGTACGGAAAGGGATCTAGGATCAGTTCCTCGGTCAGTTCATTCTTGTATGGAAAGTGATCGGGTTTTTCGGTTCAGTATCATCTGTTTGGATCTCATCGAACCTGATAAAATGCGGGGTTACTAGGATAAGTAGCCGTCAGCTGTTTTTATTAATCCAACTTTTCAATTGTTTGTTGATTGTTTTGCCTTAAAAATAAATGTGGCAGACATCTTCAACAGCAAGAAGCTAAAAAAAATTGAATACCAAACTAGCTCCACCTAGATAGTTTACTTACCTTGAACAGCTGCTACTACTCGAACTGATCCTAGATCAGTGTTTCCGTAAACAGTTATAGATTTAGCTTTAAGAATGATGCAGAGTACTACGGTGAATAGATGACAGTAAACCGCCAAAATGGACCAAGTTATTGAAATGGTAGCGAACTTCATAAAAAATGGTCGACAACAAGAGACAAGATGCAGAAGCCCGCAGACAAAAAAAAACAAGGAGAAGAAATAATAACCTAACCTTATATTGTATAAGCCTCATAAGCTGTTTACTTTTTTCCCTGTTTAAAATAGTGTTTTTTCCATTTTTTTTTTTTTTAATTTAGGTATACTATTGCCGTGTGTATTAAGCCTTTTTAATCCCCCTTTTTGTGAAAATCTATAGCGCACTGTTTGTCTGGGGTAGGGTTGCCACCTGTCCGGTTTTTTAAAGGATTGTCCGGTGTCCGGACGCATGATGAAAATGTCCGGGAATATCTGGATAACTGTATAATTAATAATAATTATTACTTAATAAAAAATTTATAAAGGCGATTGCCGAACGCCTTAGGATATACCTAACTAATTTCTGAATGTACCTACTTCTTGAATGCCGGGTGTGTCATGAACGTCTCCGATTTCCAGTTAGCGACGGAAAAGTGGACTTTTTCTGCCTAGGCAGAAAAGTTCGTTGCTAACCATTCGACAAACGTTATCAGCGCAGTTGATAAATATAAAAAGAGGATTATGCGTGAAATTGTAATAAATTCGGAGAAAAAATGATATGCTTCACACGTCAAAAGATAAGATTTAATGCCTTGGCTGGTTTCCTAGCTTCGCCTTCGGCTATGGAACACCAGCCGCGGCATTAAATATCGAGCTTTTCTGCCTAATAAAACAAATAATTATGTATGTATTGTGTCGTTCTCCCTGTTCACTTACAAGTGTCTCTTTTTTTTTAAATAGACAGTAACTACAAGGGGTGGCGTCTAAAATTAGGTAGGTACCTTTTTTAATTCTAAAAAGTTTAGTTAACTAATAATTACTAATAAGTATTATTGGTTAACCGACAGCTAAACTAGATCACCATCCACTGATAAACAAGTCCTGAGATCGGCAGGTATGTCATCAGTAATCCATATTTCACTTATCAGGATCTGGGTTTGGGCACTTAGTGCGGGAGCTACTTGTTTAAAAAATTCATCAGTACCAGCTGACTTGTTGTTATGCAGTTGTCTGATTGCCTTTTCAACCTCCTCTAATCTGAGAACCTCGCTCAGTTCTTGCTGTATTGGTTTCTGTGGAATTTTGTTAAAGGTCTCATTATTAATTTGTGATTTTCTGGTAAGTAGTTACTGAAAGTATTTTTTCTAATAAGAATTATTGAGGGATTGAGTCTTAAGTGGTTGGTCCGAATACCATCTTAGTAGCCTGAAAGAAGGTCCTGATGCTGTTGGATGCAGCTAGTTGCTGCATTTCGTTTGATTTTGTTATCCATCATTGATTTTTTAATGCTCGCGTTTGCCTTTGAACTTCTGCTCTTACTTGTTGGTATTGCGTTCTTCTTTAAAGTCGAGCTGGAGTCACTTTTCTGTGCATTATGCGGTTTTCTTTTTTTTTTTTCTGTTAGGTTTTCAATTTCAGTATCGTTCTCATCAAACCAGTCTAGATGTTTCTCTTGTATAATATGTAGACGACCGTTAGGCAGATGTTATTGCGGTCCTCAATATTTTCCAGTGCTCCTCAATGCTTTCTGGGTACTCTAACTGGCTTAGACAGGCTTGGAAAGGAAGTTTATCCTGATATGATCGTCTTGAATTACTAATGCTGGAAAAGCAAAAGGACGGCAGCAGTCAAATAATTTTAAGGGAAGTTCAGCTTTTTCTACTAATATCAATGCCGTCTATTTGTTCAATTCAAAACTATTTTTTCAGAATGTTTTATCACATTATAATAATAATAATATAATAATAATAATACGCCTTTAGTTTTAAACTTGGCGAAGGGCAGCATAGCTGTTTGCTTAACCAAGCATTCATAATAAGTTACAAGTTCAAAACTTACAGATACATTAAATAATAAATACCTATTCCAAAAAATGTTTCAAAGTGCAACGTCGTATTAAATAATCAAACATAGTAGGCAAATATAATATGCATAAGTTTCTGTGGCATAGCCAGGATAAAAGTTACAAAACATACTATTTACAACCTACAATAAGCTAAGAGTTAACTATTTCAATAATTTGAAAATATTGTGCAATGTAACAGATACAAAACAATTATTAAGCTATCAATACATCAGGGCAGCCTAAATCTCAGCTTTTGTTTAACAGATAGCCCTTAATTTTTTTTTTTAAGGTTT